AAAGGTTCTTGATAAACCACATGTTGTCAAGTGATTAAAGGGAAATAGAATCCCCTTGACCCATGACTCAGACTCCCTCATCTTTATACAGCTAAGTAGTTAAGCGACATTTGATTAGGTATAACACTGTAAAAGCTTTATTATATATACTAGCGAAAGAAATTACATGACTTCGCTGTTTAGATATTAGATTACCAGTTTCCACAACTCAGACCATAATAGTTATACAGCAGGTGTTTTGAAGTCAGAACATGCATATAAAGCATTTTTTATCACCATGTTTATCTTACACAGGGCTTTATTCTTCAAATCGAAGCTTCTTTGTAAAAAATACCGTCACATCACTAGATGATTATTATTCAGCAAATAGACTGTAGTGTAGGAATACGTAGTTTTTAATTTTGGGTTCGAACCATATAAAGCCCTATACACATCCTAGTTCAAAGAACAACATGAAATGAAATAATAAGTAGATCAAAACCACTTAATGAGTACTTGCTTTGCCTATTACATATTAGGTCGATAGTTGATTGCAGGCTAGCCACACTGCAACAACAACATGACTGGCTTGAAACTAAGAATGTATTGGAGGCAGAAATTTGCATAATATTAAAGACTAATAAGCATATGTGCCAAAAGTACTAAATGAGTCATAAGACTCAAAATGCTGGTTCCTGATACACTCCAATTTACTGCGAATACATATACGAAGATAAAGATAGACGCTCGCTTAGACTTACCGTTTCTGAACGAGTTGAATCTAAATAGCGATTTGAGTCAGTAGACTAGAAAGAGCGAAACTAAAACATTCAGCTTGTGGAAGCTCTGGGACAAAAGAAAATTATTATGCATTATTTTTACTTTGAAAGTCAGAACAGATAATATTATCTATCAAGTAGCTTTTGTGCAATTTTCGTAACACATTGAGCACAGTGGGCAACAACTTGTCAACAAACTAGGGAACAAATGAGCAGTAATCACAATCCAAACCCTCAGGTTTGACTCAACCAGGAATACTCCGAGACTTATAATGGAACACTGGGCTTGGCCGTCCAGAAGATATCCTCCATTAGGATCACACGTAGGGCAAAACTCTAGTAAACGTTTGACCTGTGGACATTGAACATTATTATTAACTGCACCGTACAGTATCATAACTTTTGCATGATTTTAGTGATCGAGCAAGGCGAATGTACGAAGAGTCAGACAGATGACTATGCGGTCTATACATTATACATAAAAACCAGCCGCCAAGCCGCCAGCTTTTTGATTGCTTAACCTTGACAAAGGTTATCCAAAGGCCTTGAAAAGGCCCAATTAATCTTTTGTACAACTACTATCATACTTCAAAATTAAAGAAGGAGAAGCCCTCATGTATGAAAGATTTACGTTTTTGTACTCAACGTTCATATCTAGAAGGAACAAAAACTTTTTTAAGTGAATATGACGAGTAAACCTATAGTATGAATTTTTGTTTCAGTTGCTTCTCAAACTTATTTTCTATGAATTACTGAAAAAATCACAACTATCGAAAATTCCCTCTCGAATATTGTAGGCGTTTTCAGGAGGTAAGAATTCCTAAGTCTTTTTGATCGAATATGTAATATCTTTTTCTCAAGGTTGTATAAACCGACTGATTTCTTTTCTCTCTCTTCTGATCCAACAAAAAAATAATGGACAGATCGTTGACGCTAAAATACACCAGCCAACTTGTTCACCTTATATCTGAACGAACAAACACGGGGCAGGTGAGAGTTTACCTTTGTATAAGTGAACGTGTGTGCATAAACCGAACAGAGCTGCTGAAATATCACAGATATGACCCCAGGTTATCCATCGACCTGAACTGTTTTCATTGGTCATAGACCGGTCCATTCTCTAATGTGTCTATACTTTGTACTTCCTTATTCTATTCTATCTGTTTTGCATTCTGGCTTTTCTGTATCGCATTAGAAGAATTCATTTGTAATTCTCTTTATTATCCACAGATTTTTGACATTTAACCGCTGATGTTGAGTGAATTTTTGTTAACAGTGTCTCACTTAACACTATATTTTGTCGGATTTCATAGTGGTTTACCGTTCTCTGGCTGCCTTTGTTTGAACTGCTCAATACGGCTTATGTCAAAGTTCTCTATTTTTAAAAGAACGAGCGATAGTGTTTTTGATTATTTACATTTCTGTTATCAATATTTTACAGATGAATATGTCTACTTTCTTGAGTGTCCATTGGCTCTATAACCCATCTCGACTAAAAACTTTCCGTATTGTTTGAAGTTTGTGATCAGAATTTGGTGAAGATGGGAAAGAAACGTCAGGCCACTTCGAAAAACAATCAGCGACTAAGTACACATATTCGCTAAGAAATCGACCACAATGGTCTGCATGAATTGTAAGCCAACGCGTCAGACGATACTGCCCATGGAGTCCGCCTCGAAGGCTAATTGTTAAACTTATGACATTTTTCACAATTTTTCGCTGTACGACATATATCTGTATTTATCTCTTGCCACCCATATGTGACCCTTGCCAAGGACTTCATTTTCCAAATGTACACTATGATAATCTCCGAGGACAGATTTACGTAAAGATGCAGGGATAACAACACGATCATTTGTACACAAAATACCATCAGGAGTCGCGGAAAACTCATCCTGCTTTGAAAAATAGACAAGAAATCTACAATTCGGATTAGAATTCCAACTATTCCGTATAGCACTGAGTATACATCCGAAGTATCTACAAGTTTCTCCAATAAGATATAGACGTTTATCGGCAAAAGTTGTACTAACAAACAGTCTGAAGCATTTACTAATCTATCTTGTAATGATTTTCGAGGAATGTAGTCAGCAGAGTGAATTGGTTTGGCACTTCCGTGCTGAACCGTATAGTCATAGGCGCTAAAAGCAATACTTCATCGTCGAACAATAGCAGATGAAGAATATGTTAAAGATTTTTCAGGATGATAAATAAACTTCAAAGCTTCATGATCAATAAAAATATAGAATTTCTTTCCGAATAATTTTTTATGGCACAAAACAATGGATGTACATAAACTCTTTGGAAGATGAGCATTAACTTTCGGGATCGCGGAAGAAGATAAATGGTCATTAGAAACACCGGAAAGACAGTAGTTTGGGGAACTAACTGAATGTATCCAATTTAATCAAATTTAAAACATTTAGCATTACGAATTAGGAGGATGAAAGTTACCACAGGATAAACATTTACCAAACTTGTGCTCACCTTTGTGACCTTGTTCACGATTTCTTGTTGAGTCACTTTTCATATTTCTATGAGAATGGGAACCCTTATTAAACAAACGAGGGTCTGAGAGAAGCTGAGTGTGTAGTTCATCATGACGGCGAAGCAAAGTAATATAAATTTCGGCCAGACTATAATTTATGGAAGAACCAATCAGGTATAGGATAACAGGCCTCAGATTTTGGTGCGGGATTCACCCAGCCATTTGGTAGCAGTAATAAAAACCATTACACGTAACGTTACAAATGTGAGTTTGTTTTTTCTTATTGCAGGGCAGTAAAGCACAAACTACTGAAAGAAGCGAAGCCAACCCTACCCAAGCTGAACCTGCAGAACAATGGACAAAACTATAATGTAATATGTTTCCCTTTTGTATTCGAATCGCATCTTTCAATTTTAAAATATATCTGTTCTGCCAGTACGGCCAGTACGCCGCGTCCTTACTTCAGAGGCATTTACTGGTATCGACTGTTGTATTGTTGCTTCAGATCGCTCCTGCTTCCAAGTGAATGCTAATATAACGTGCTATAATTTGGCTAAATAGTCTTGGCATTATAGCTGGTGTCAGTTCGTGATGAAAACCCTAAATCTAATTCCTAGCATTAACCATCAACTGTAAATCGTAAATCGAATTCCTCACACTAATTTATAACCCTCACTTGGTCATAGTTATCATGTTAACAAGCTGAAGTTCAGTCCAGCATTGCTCAATAGTCGTCCATACATTATAGTCTAACCGAAATTACTACTGACTGCAAATCAATCTCATTCACTACCTCAGGGTTATAGATGCAGTTTTTGTTACTCGGAGTGAAGTTTTAAATTTCTGAGGTGTTTATAATAACTAATTACAGTTTTGGGTTTGATTTCTGATTGATTTCCAATTCTTAATACAATCCATTCACCTGTTTTCAGAGTCTGAATTTTCTTGCCTGCACATGAAAATGAGCGTACATCTGAGTCTTACCATTCTAAACATCGTTCCTGGTCATAGTCCAATATACAAAACTTTCCATGTAATTTTCGAAAGCTTCAGAATTCGAATACACATCTAACTGTTCAAACACAGGCTCTGTCGCAACGCCAGTATGATAATTAGAAGTATCCAAATCATTGTATTAACTAGAAAAATTCACAAAACAGAGCAATTTCAGCCGAGTAGAACTACATGGACACAAACGGACGTACTGTATTTAGAATTTGAAATTAACCAAAGATCAAGTACAAAGCAATTACTATTTCATGCGAACACCACAACTAGCCATGTTAGGTTTACAGACACCAAGTATTTGAAGTGGCCAATGGAACCATTCACACCAGATTACATTACAACCCTTCACAGAACTCTTCCTTTACCCAAATTAGTCAGTTTATTAGCTCTTCATTACGGCACCTCGTTAAATACTATCATCGATGTCTTATGCCCTGGTGTATTTCAGGTTACTTCGTTAGGTGCTCATATGTGTATATTTCTCTGATTTTCCGTTTTAAAGTAATTTACAGACGTGTCAATCTGGTATATACCACTCTTTAGTAGAAAAGATTGTATCTAATATGAGAATCCTATACTTCAGTTGTAATTTTTATATTTTGAGACAATACTCTCAAAACATTGTTGTTCATGCATCATCTTGGCACAACTTCAGTTCTAATTCATATTACTATCCTCTAACCAAAAAGTGGTTCGTGTAATATCTACACTGATGTAGTTTGAATTTTTTTGTAGATTCCTGTTGAATGTTGGACGTACATACTTCTTCACAGGTATGTTTAAAAAGCATTCGCTTGGTCTGGAAATGTTGTAATCATAGAAATTATAAATATGAATTGGACGAAATCGTTAGACACGTAAAGCTATAATTTTACACGGTCTAATCAGTTGTTCAGATAAGGTTTTTACCGTAGGATATAAATATATTAGATAACTAAACTGCCAGAATAGTTGAAAGTATTCATTTGAAAGAGAATAAAAGTATTCCTGCTATTCAAAGAATGCTCACAATGAATATCACATTAACGATCAAAACATATACGGTAACTCAATATTTCAGTCAACAATCTCAACAAACGATGAGAATCTATAAATAAGTAGGAAAAGTATCAAAAACAAAATAAATGGTCCTAATGTGATAATTAGAAGTATTTGAATTACAGTACGAACTAAGAATTTCAGAAATAAAGCAATTGGATCAAGACGTAGTAGATAAGAATGAACGAATGTACTGTATTTGGAATCCGAATTCAAGCATTCAACATGTATAAAGGAATCATCTGTTCATTTAAACACCATATCTAACCTTATGAGAAGCAAAACGAAAATTATATGAATGAACCCATCCCAAATAGTGGATCTGCACTTGAGGATTGGTGTTATAGTTATATAGAACATATACATGAATATAGACAACAACAACAGATTGAATATTTCACATAAGGGAACACAAGGGAATATTCGTCGAAGTAAACATACTACATGAATTTTTTCCACATATATTCACATGAAAATACACAAAATGAATTCAACAGTTAGTTCTTGTTCTGTTCTGAATACTTAGTCAGTTATTCTTATTTGAATTCAATGAATACTCTATGTCAATGCTTGTTATGTCACCATTATCCACAATAGCTGACTTTCTTTGAGTATGTTAATTCATAAATACTCAAATATTTGAATGTCTTATGAAAAAAATATTTGTTAGAAGGGGTTTGTGGAGATTTTAGAAATTTCACAGAATGAAATCATGAGTCATTTGAAGCCCCTTCTGATAATAATCATCTGCTCACTAGTGATTGACTTCAGGAGATACTCCTGGAGTTCTAGTGTGCCGAAGGAGTACAAGCGGAATCACTGAGCAAACGTAATTGTGTGCAAAGTCACAATCAACGGAAGGAAGAATGTCCTTAGTACAGTTAAACAAAAAAGTACAGTAAAACAATCACTAGTGTAATCGGTTATAATAATAATTGTTTCCATTAAACCAATTGTAAGATCCAAACTGCGGTTTGGACTGCTGAATAGCCGTCCAGGTACGTTAGACGCGCGCCCTTTCCCGTCGAAATCAAAACAAGTAATCGGGTAAATAGCGGTTCTATAATTCATCATAAATTTACATGTAAATCGTTACCTAAACAAATATTACCACCCGGCTATTCAACCAATAATTGTTCAATCAATAAAATCTGAATTACAATAAATAAAGTAGTTGATGAAAGATGGGGGAAAATTACCAGTCACAACAAATGAACGTTATTCTATCCTGACTGGATAGAACACACACAAAAGGGGGAGCAAATCAATATGGCTACCGCCAGGAACAAGTGTCAACTAAAACAACGTAAATACAGTTCGGAAAGAAGCCCAAAAACTTAGTGAAGGCGTAATAAAATAAAACTATGATAAAATACAAATATTAACAATTCAAATGTAATCAAAAAACTAACAATGTACAACTAAGGGGATCAATAGGAACAAAGTGCAAGTATATGCATGGAGGGATTTTCACAAACACACAAAACATTCAAAATGGATCTTACACCAATCGCTTTCTCTTGATAAAAGTAGGTCACTACAAGTTCATCAGCAACTAGTGAATTAGTATCGTTCAATGCAGTGCTGATTCGCAGATGTTTGATAACATCCCAAACTCCTTATTTAAGAGAAACCTTTTATCCATTTCGGATATATTTTGGGGAAACCGCTATAGAAGCGTTTGGAACAAAACCCCCTTAATTTTGAGGATTTCCCCAATATTTTCTCAGTATCTTATAACACCAATATTGGTAGGAAGTTACAACGGGTTCCTGTTGATAACTGCTGCTTGAAGTAGTGATAAATTGACATTTCCATTTCCATACACAACAATAAAAATAATGTATCTGCAGAGTGATGAAATAAAAAGAGAATACTCTTTTAAAAAAAACATTCGGACAGATCAACTCTAAGGTTGTCATTAAATGATTAGTTAGTAAATGAGAAAGTTGTTGATTACTCCATGTACATTTAATTGACTGTTTTACTTAAACTGATACTCACTCACCAGCATTCTCCCTCCAACCTTGTCCTGCGCAATCCTTTCCAGCTCCTTCAGTTGTTATTCATCCTTTTAATATTTGCTTCTATTTCCCGACGTAATGTGTTCTTTGGCCTTCCGCTTTTCCGTTTCCCTTCAGGGTTTCACGTTAGGCTTGCAGTTTGATTACTTACTTACTTACGCCTGTTACTCCCAATGGAGCATAGGCCGCTGACCAGCATTCTCCAACCCACTCTGTCCTGGGCCTTCTTTTCTAGTTCCATCCAATTCTTGTTCATTTTTCTCATGTCTATCTCCATTTCTCGGCGTAATGTGTTCTTTGGTCTTCCTCTTTTCCTTTGACCTTCAGGATTCCATGTGAGGGCTTGTCTTGTGACGCAGTTGGGTGCTTTCCTCAATGTGTGTCCTATCCACTTCCAGCGCTTCTTCCTGATTTCTTCCTCCGCTGGGATCTGGTTTGTTCTCTCCCACAGTACGTTGTTGCTAATAGTGTCCGGCCAATGGATCTGAAGTATTTTGCGTAGACAATTGTTAATAAACACCTGTATTTTCTGGATGATGGCTTTCGTAGTTCTCCAGGTTTCTGCCCCATACAGTAGAACTGTCTTGACATTTGTATTGAAAATCCTGACCTTGGTGTTGGTTGACAGTTGCTTTGAGTTCCAGATGTTCCTCAGTTGTAAATATGCTGCTCTTGCTTTGCCGATCCGCGCCTTCACATCTGCATCAGATCCACCCTGTTCATCAATGATGCTGCCCAAATACGTAAAGGTTTTTACATCTTCCAAATCTTCTCCGTCAATTGTGATTGGATTGGTGCATTCTGTGTTGTATCGGAGAATCCTGCTTTTCCCTTTGTGTATATTGAGACCTACTGCTGCTGAGGCTGCTGCCACACTGGTCGTCTTCTCCTGCATCTGTTGTTGCGTTTGGGATAGAAGGGCCAGATCGTCTGCGAAGTCTAGATCATCCAACTGCATCTTAGATGTCCATTGTATCCCGCGCTTCCCTTCAGACGTTGACGTCTTCATGATCCAGTCGATCACCAGGAGAAAGAGAAAGGGTGAGAGTAAGCAACCTTGCCTAACACCGGTCTTTACTTCGAACGACTTTGTCAACTGTCCTCCATGCACGATTTTGCAGTGTAATCCATCATATGAGTTCTGTATGATATTGACTATCTTCTGAGGCACGCCGTAGTGTCGAAGAAGTTTCCATAGTGTTGTTCTGTCCACGCTATCAAATGCCTTTTCGTAGTCAATGAAGTTGATGTAGAGTGATGAATTCCATTCAATTGATTGTTCCACAATGATCCGTAGAGTTGCGATTTGGTCTGTACACGATCTATCCTTACGGAATCCTGCCTGTTGGTCACGAAGTTGGGCGTCTACGCAGTCCTTCATCCTGTTTAACAATACCCTGTTGAAGACTTTTCCCGGTATTGAGAGAAGAGTGATGCCCCTGTAGTTATCACACTTGCTGAGATCGCCTTTCTTCGGTATTTTGATCAGAAGTCCTTCTTTCCAGTCTGTTGGTACTTGTTCCTCATCCCAAATCTTATTGAAGAGAATGTGGAGTATCCTTGCAGTTGCCGCTACGTCTGCTTTTAGTGCCTCTGCTGGATGTTGTCCGGTCCTGCTGCTTTGCCACTCTTGATTTGTCTGATGGCCATGCTGATTTCTTCAATTGTTGGTGGGCCAACATTGATTGGGAGGTCCGTGGGTGCTGCTTCGATGTTGGGTGGGTTCAGTGGAGCTGGTCGATTCAAGAGTTCTTTGAAGTGTTCTACCCACCTGTTTTGTTGCTCTTCAATGTTGGTGATTACCTTGCCTTCCTTGCTTTTCACTGGTCGTTCTGGTTTGCGGCGATTTCCAGAGAGTTTCTTTGTCGTGTCATACAATTGTCTCATGTTTCCTTCTCTTGCAGCCTTTTCCGCCGTCGTTGCTAAATCTTCCACATATTTACGTTTGTCGGTTCTGATGCTCCTCTTCACTTGTTTGTTTATTTCCGTGTATTCAGCTTGTGCCTTGGCTTTTTCTGCTCTTGTTCGACTGGTATTGATTGCTGCCTTCTTGTTCCTTCTTTCTTGAATCTTATCCAGTGTATCAACAGTGATCCATTCCTTGTGGTGGTGCTTCTTGTGACCCAGGACCTCATGACATGTTGAAGTGATTGCCTCTTTGATCCCCTTCCAGTTGCTCTCCACAGTAGTTCCTTCTCCATTGAGTAGATCATGAAAGGCCTGGAACTTGTTGCTGAGGACTATCTTGAATTTGTTGAGTTTGTTAGTATCCTGGAGAAAGGCCGTATTGAACTTTTGTGATATTGTCCGCCCCGTTGTCCAGTGCTTCTTGAGTTTCAATTTCATCTTGGCGACCAGCAAGTGATGATCTGATGCTATATCAGCTCCTCTCTTGGTTCTCACGTCCTCTATAGTCCTCCTGAACGTTTTGTTGATGCAAATATGGTCGATTTGGTTTTGTGTAGAGTGATCCGGTGAAGTCCATGTGGTTTTGTGTATGCGTTTATGTGGGAATATGGTGCCGCCTATGACCAGCTTATTGAAGGCACATAGATTTGCAAATCTCTCACCATTTTCGTTTCTTTCTCCCAGTCCGTGTCGTCCCATGATGTCTTCATATCCAGTGTTGTCCGTTCCAACCTTGGCGTTGAAATCTCCCATCAGAATGGTCAGGTCCTTTGTTGGGCACTTCTCGACGATTGACTGCAGCCTATTGTAGAATTGATCTTTAGCGTCTTCATTGTAGTCGTTGGTAGGCGCATAGCATTGGATGATGTTCATTGAAATGCCCTCTTTCTTTGTTTTGAACGAGGCTTTGATGATCCTTGGTCCATGAGATTCCCATCCTATAAGTGCATTTTGCGCTTGTTTGGACAGCATCAATGCAACTCCTTGTGTATGTGGTGCATTTTCTTCTTCATGGCCGGAGTATAACAGGAGCTCTCCTGTAGTTAGTCGTTGTTGTCCAACTTGTGTCCAATGTGTTTCACTGATCCCAAGTACCTCTAGGTTGTATCTTCTCATTTCTGCAGCAATTTGGAAGGCTCTTCCGGTGTCCCACATTGTACGAACATTCCATGTACCTAAATAAATGGTCGCTCTGGTTGTCAGAAGGGGCATCGGCCTCGTAACTTCCGAAGGAATTCGGCTTTCATCATGAGGCGTCATAATTCTTCTAAATGAAGACCTTCTGACTCCCAGGGCAGAGTTTAAAAGGTTTGAATAATTTTTTCTGGTTAGCGTTTTTTTAGCGAGTTAGTTTTCTACGGGATGGGGACGCTAACCCCATGCCCAACCCTCCTCCTTTATCCGGGCTTGGGACCGGCAGTAGCCCCCGGAGGGACTCCAGGCGGAGTTTTGCAGTTTGATGATTTACGTAATTTATGTCCTATCCATTTTCATCATCTTTTCCTAATTTCTTCTTCAGATGGAAGCTGGTTTGTTCTCTCCCACAAAAGGCTGTTGCTGATGGTATCCGATCAATGGATGTTGAGTATCTTGCATAGACAACTATTTATAAATACTTGTACCTTCTTGATAATGGTTGTAGTAGTTCTTCAAGTTGCAGCTCCGCACAGTGGAACTGCCTTGACGTTAGTATTGAAGATACTGACCATGATATTGGTTGGAAGTTGTTTTGAGTTCCACAAGTTCTTCAACTGTAGGAATGCTGTCCTTGCTTTGCCAATCCTCACCTTTACTTCTGCATCTGAACCTCCTTGTTTATCGATTATGCTTCCCAGGTATGTGAAGGGTTCTACCAATGGATCCAACAATCAAGTATTTTCAGCGAGATGTAAAGATCCTGGGTCTGTGGATGCTCTGACGGCAGAGTAAACAAGGAACCAGAGTTTATTCAAAATATACTAATTAAAATGGGTTACGTGCATCATTATCAAAAGAAATATATATTAAAATCCAATAGATTTATTCAGATAGTATATTTTGTTTGTCCTTTTAAACCCTTGATGTTAGAATGATACTTTGTTACGTTTCTATACACTTGTCTGAACGCAATATTCACTTATATATTGTTCCACATAAAATACAATTCTCATACCTATATTATATCATTTAATGTTTTATTGTTGATACCTAGGTTCGTCGAGTCGGTGTTCAAAATTTAGAAACTGAGGCTATCAATGCAGCTAAAGAGGCACAAAATCTTACAACTATACCTGACGATCCTTCATCTCAACATATGCATCATCATCGTGATTCCATAGATGGCATTAATCCAGTTGTGTAAGTTAGACAGATCGAAAGATATATCACTGTAAGAGGTTTATGGAGTTTTGTAATTTACATTGCCGATTGATCTTAGTTTGGCAACCATTGAAAACCAGAGAGCACTGTACAGCTGCTTCGTCCGAATATGGGACTACTCAGTAATGTACATTCACGGCTCAAGTGCTTATCGAAAGCAAGACTTTTAAGTCTGACGGTGACATTCAAACCACTAAGTCGACATCTACTTTACCTGCATCATACTCGACATAATTGAACTGCGCTGGTCGCAATTTATTATGACTTTTCGAAATTAATCTCTATTGAGCTCATGATTTTTATTATGAATAATGTAAGGGAGTTTGGAGAGGTTTTTAAAGTTTCTAATCAAGTTCAGTTTGCAATAATTATATATCTATATTCAACAAAAAAATATAAATCTCAGAAAGAAAAGTGACTTGTCGACAGGTAATTCATAATAAAACGTTAGGGTTACAGTTTAGGGTAATATTACTATTGCCATCCTACTAGAAGGCAATAGGATTTTTGAAGTCTACGAAATAAAACGGATTGTCATTGGTTTATCAGCTGATCAGAAATTTAGCATGTATCCCATAAACAACGTAAAATCTGAGACATTTGTGCAACAGGTCACATTCCCACATCATATTAATACGATATTGTGGAGGTATCAAGATAAACACTAGTTATATATAAGTAATAACAGTGTAGACAATATGATTTGAAAAGGAAGAATGAGTTCCCAAAATAAAAGTTATCAGTATTAAAGATAATTAGTGAGTCCATCCGACCTTTCGGGATTGATTCTGAGTCATTTCAGCTAACATCTCCAGTCTTTTGTTGAGATAATCGAGCAGACCCTAACCACCTACTCTGAGCCTACGTACATGACTCAGTCCAACAGTAATTTACTTAATAGGCTGATATTATATCTTGGTTCTGGTGGTTCTAACCTTTTTGCAACTTACTCCTACACTAGCAAGCTGTTATGACTTTTACCGTGTTAATTACCCCGTGACTAGACCGCCGATTGAAACACGAGTTATATGACCTTGGCACTGTGCCGAACCAATGACGCGTTAACTAGTACATGCAGCCTAGAGTCAACTCCGAATCATTATTGGTCTCTCTCGCCTTGTCCTGCCCGTTCACTCAAACAAGCAATTTCAGCCTCCACTGTATGAATATTTCATACATATGTGCTTAATATACAAGCAGACCAAACATCATCATGTCATAAAATAGAAAATAACATAAAATATGGTTGTTGTTTTTTTATTTTGAATAGGAAAATGCTTTCCCAGGCAGGAATAAAGTACAGACGACGTAATAGTCATCATGAATCACCGAATAGTCCATCTAGACAAACTCTAGCATCAGTTCCTCATAAATACAGTACAGTTGCATCACGTGGTAATAAAATTCGTCAACCTGCCGCAAGTGGGGCAGCACAACGAATCCCACAGATGATAAACAACTAACTACATCCACGAAATTAGGTCATGTATTCATGCAAGCCTGTATTTTTAAAGTTGGAGATGATGTTCGTCAAGTAAGTAATTATTACCATGGAAAACGAATTAATGATAATCGTTTAATGTTGCTAACTAACTCATATCCACCAACCCGATTAAAGCACCCGACATTCGCTTTTCGTTCTCTCAATTTCGTAAACAACACCCCAGTGAATAGGAATCGCTAAACACGTTTCCATTTAAGAATATTTTGAGAGGGAGAGCTGAATCTCTTTAGGGGTCAATTAGAAGTTGGTCTAATATAGACAATCCATATTTGTCCGCAATGATCTTTAATCTCCAGCACGTTAATCTTCCATAGTTCAATTGTATAAAAAACTTACCAAAACATGATTATTAGATGAGATAAATGGTCCGCATACACGACAATTTCACTCCAAACACAATACTATTTTCTGTACATTGTGAATTTCAGACCTAATTTGCTGTTAAATTTCGTATAATCAGGTGTTAAAAGCATAATAAATCAATTTACTAGTCATTTTAATGACTTCTGATTGAAAATCTTCACTGAATCAAATACGTAGTTGAAGTTTTTTTGCGTGTGCTGTTCTGTTTTTCGAGCTGCATAGTTTACCTGTGAAATTCTTACTATCCTTTATAGACAACCTCATCATCATCAGGGAAACTTTAAAAAAGTAATGAACATTTTGAATCTCTGCACATATTGATCAGCAACTTATTCTGATCTCCTTGAATTTGATTGTTCTTTGTACTGATGCAAGTTCAGAAGTTAAACCAATTGACTGTAATTGAGAATTCTAATTGATTTATGTCAATCATTTAGTCCTAATCGGTAGGTGTCCACTCTCATAGTCACTTTGGCATCGCTCAAAAGGCGTCCATAAATTATAGTCTCAGCAAGTTTGTGCGCTCTTATTAAATATCATTACTATTAATGTCTCTATCCAATAAAACACATATTTTGTACAATATGGAATTCTCAACACAAAGCACGAAATATTTCAACAAGTTTCTGTGGTGGGCCGACATTTGATCGATGCTAAAGTGACCTTGAGAGTGTCCACTTAATAACTAGGATCAAATGAGGTTTATAAACCAGTGTGAAAAATCAGAATTATGATTTACAGTTGATGATTGAGCTTATAAGTTAAATTTCGGGTTTTCATCACGAACTGACATAAGATGTAATGCCAAAACTCTATTTATCTGAATGGATGAGTTAGTTTTGCTCCAAAATCTGAGACCTGTTATCTTATACCTAGTTAAGTTCATTCATAAATTATAGTCTCATCGTTTCTGTTTCTTATTTCCCGATTAAAACCAACGACGAATACTGAGTGATTGCCAGTTTAATGCAAGCAATATCAGGAATCAACATGTGATGAAATGTTCACTCTTTTAGATGCATATTGCCTACAACCATGATTTCTCTGATTGTACTTTTCATAAACACTCCGGTATAGGTTATGTGATTAGTACGAACAAGAAAAGATGACTTGTTGAGATATCTAGACGGCAGGAACAAGCAGCCCAGATATTTATACACATCTACTTTGTCATATCATGAATGATTTTAGCAAACATTACAAGTGAAAATCAAACATTAATCTATGATCTATTGTTTCTTACTTAAAAACGTGGTTGTTGAACTACCGTATTTGTAACCCAGTCAACCAAAAAAGAAGGAAATGAATTGGAAAATAAAAGGGAAATAATGGGGAAACGTGCCAAAATGTCTGCTTTTTCGCCTATCCGGGGGAAATAATGAGGATTTTCCCGTTTTTGTCACTCTGTGTTCCAAATGTTGCTGAATTGTCTATTTTTTCCCTAAAGATAAGCCAAATCATCTACTTATGGCCAATAATAATTCATCAGTATTGTATAAAATAGTGATCTAATACTTATAATGTGTTGACAAGTATCCACTAATAATCAATTAAAGATTTACCATAGGTACCCTCAGTTAACTGCAATCAATGTAAAACATATTAACATGATCAATTAATATTATTTTTATTACTCTAATAATAATCAAAAGCGTTTGGATGATTTTGTAAAAAGTTAATAGGATTGTGATATATTCTACCGATGTCGATAGATATGAGTAGTATGTATCATCTAATCAAAAATTGAAATGCCTGGTAGATGCAGACTAAGAAAATTTAAGAAAAGAAATCGAGCATAGAGAGTGATTGATATGGAGACAAAGGAATAAGAAAATCTTAGACAATTGATTGACATTTTGCAGATGAAGTATTTACTGTATAGTTCTTAGATTTTACGAAGAGATTCTGTAATTCCTTAACCAAATGCATTTGGGTGTCCTCACTTATATTCTCGTTCACTACAGGAATAACCGAACCGATTAACGATAAACTAACTAACAGACAACTAAGTTAGTATCCAAAGTCTTTCATGTTTAATTCTAGACATTTTGCTATATCATAAGTATGACACAATTGGAGGATAATGGAATTTATTTGAATACAACATTACCGAATCACTTAATAAAATCTAAGAAGCATTCAGTAAATTCCTTATTTACAAAATGTTAATCAATTGTCTTAGAATTGACTGTTCCTTTATTTCTACATCGACTATCCACTGTTCACATTCACCTTTCTTCAAACTTCTTAACTTTCTGTCACCAAGTTTTTCACTTTCGATTGATGGTACATACTACTTATATCTGTCGATATTAGTAGCACACACCGTAACACTAAAATTTTCAATAATTTGTTTGGTACTTCTTAATTTTTTAAAGAAAAAAACGTGGTAAGTTACAAATTATTTTCTTAATAATAATTCTCAATAGAATTAAACAATTTAAAATAATACTCCGTTGTTTATTATTGATAATGGTTGATTTTAAGGAATCATTGGTTGATAATGTTTCGGAGGATATTTCTTGTTAATCATTGATTTCATCTCTGGTTTACAGCTCTTAATCGTCATTCGACAATGCTGCTTCGTCCATGGTTCAAGTAAAATTTGAATTTGACACACCTGACCAATCTAAATTACATGAAAGATAATAACATTAATAATAATAACTATTATTATCAGTATAGGGTTGTGGAGATTATTTCGTTTTTGATTGAGATCATGAACCGAATGATGTTAGACCACAATTCAAACACCTGTAAGCATTGAATGGCCGTTTCTTCCTATTGTGGGACTCTTCAGTAGTGCGCACCTACGATTCCGCTCGCGGGATTCGAACCCAAGGCCTTCCGCTGCTCGCACGAACGCTTAACTTCTAACCATTGAGACGGCCGGCATTCAATGGTGTTAATGTCTAACCTCAACCAATCCAAAAAATTGCGTGACTATCTCCCATTGTACTCGCATAGATACCTGTCTCTACCCAACAAGGATTAAATCCACTGGTCACGGCTTCTCACTAGAACCCTGAGAATATACTTACGAAACTAGTTACTAGTGAGCACATGGTAATTATCAATATAGGATTATGGAGATTATTAAGTTTTTAATTGAGACCTTGGTGGTCTAACATTAAACGGTTCATGTTCTCAATCAAAATAGTAATGATGTTAATCGATATTATTGAGTGTCATATGCATCATTACAGTAAATAATACTTAGCATAGATTATGTAATAAATCGTAAAGGATATCCCTCTAAAGACTATTCTCCTGAAATCCCTCATTATCCTATGGTCTATATATCTATATTAGATGCATAAGTTTTAAAGTATTTGCTTTTCATTTTGTCTGAATGACAGTCAAGGAAGAAAATATATACAAACTACCATGATAATATGGTTCTTCTGATATTAAACAGTGAAAAGAACAACTCAAATTGGATCACTCAATGGTAGATATTGTTGTTTTTTTTTAATAACTTCTATCATGAAATTAATCAAAGGTATGTCTTTTAGTATGCTGTAATTTTTCTTTCATCATAACTGATTATGTTACTATTAACACGAAAGTAGTATGATAAAATGGTATTTTCATCATAGAAAACTTTACATATTTTTATGTAACCCAGAATAAAACACCCCCACCCTCTGTCATGGACTATGATAGTGCGAATAGTAATATGCGTTTCATTTTATTTGGTTGCCAGGTGTAATGTCTAAAGTGTAAACAAGAATAAAGTTTATCAACTTTTTCAAAATAAGCAATCATGGTTTATTTCTTACAGTCATTTGATTAATATCGACGGAAGAAATCGAATAAACTGATGTATAATTAACAGAAATCCTTCAAATTCCTCTATTATGGATATTTACTGTTTAATTCTAAGTCATCTTATTTTCTGACTTACAATTAATACCTTTCAGGACACAAACAGACTTAAATCCGATTTTGATAACTACGATAATAAAATGAAGTTAGACATTAACATCAGTGTATGCTGGCCGACTCAGTCGTTCAAACATTAAGGTTTCGCGCGCGAAACCGATAGATCTTGGGTTTGAATCCCGCGAGTGAGATCGTGGATGTGTATTGCTAAACAGTCTCATACTAGAACGGAACGGCCGACCACTGCTTCCATGTTTTCCATAGTGGTCTAGCTTCAATGGACTCATGAATTCAACTATTAAAATACTCTCAAGCCTTTTATGGTAACAATCAAATAGACTAGTTTAAACTATAAATGAACATGGACCAGACAACCATTGAATGCCATTTTGTACAGAAATACTATATATGTGAATCACCAGGGAGTATTATACTAGAATGAAACTACTTTTCGTTTTCCTGAGGATATCAATAATTGCGTAGCTTAAATCATCTCGGGATGTAAACTTTCTACAAAGCGAACAATCTTAAAAAACATACTAATTTTAAGGAAAAGTTCACTTTTTAATTCCATTTTCATTAACATTTATCTATTATCATAGTTGAATTTACAAGTTGATATAAGCTAAACCATCACTGAAAACTTGAAAGCAATGGACAGCTGTTTAGTCCTAATATGGGATTACTAAGCAGTGCGCATCCACAATCCCA